ACTATACTTAGAAAATTTCTCTCTAGATAGTATTAATTTCATTGTAATTAATCCTAACTTAAAATAACTTCTCCAGGTTTTCCATTTCTCGTATTAAAAATTTTCAAATATTTAAGAGAAGTTTTAATGGAAAGCACACGTTTCATCGTATGAAGTAGAAAGTAAACAAAGGCTTACGGTAACTATGCAAACGTAGAGAGCAAATAGCGTCTTTAGATATTATAAAAGCAAATATAACGATGAAAAGTTAATACAATATTTGTAATGTTCGAGAATTTATAAAGAAAAAAGTGGAATTTCTGTACAAAGCATTAGTAGCGTTAGTTTTTAATGAAAATTATGTTAGAAACCAGTTTAAGGTTGAAGATAGTAACTCGAACTATGTAGTTACAAAATATACAATAATGGAAACGGTCAGGGTGTTAATATTGATGCGAGTCACTTCCACTTTCATGCCATTTTGCTTTGTTTTTCATTTTACTTATTTTGCATGAACATTTAATATTATAACTTAATTCATAATCTTGATATATCGTAACACTTAAAGGATGACTTAATTATATTTTAAGCTGGAATGCATTTAAACATCGTTAAAATAATAATTAAAATTAATAAATATTTTAAAATAACAAGTTATCGTCACGAGCTTTTTGCGCATCTACTGCGATCTTTTTTTTTGTAATAAAATTATTTTCGTTTATGAACGTATTCTGGAATTAATAACCGTTTTTAGTATTTATAATAAAATAATAATAAAAAGAAATACGCAACGCCCATGATATCTATGGACATCCAAAAAGTTTTTTAATACACATCTTCCAAAAAGTTTTTTAATAGTTATATAAATACTTGCTCCTGATTCAATAGAAGTAAAGGTTAATAAATAAATTAAAAATAACTATGATGTTAAGTTATTAAAATGCTTCGAATGAGGAAAAAATGTTTTTATCTCATTTTGATTTATGAGTATGCATACATATCAAGTATCCACACTTGCGATCACAGTCAATTCATTATGCAGCTTGAGAGACATCCACGCTACTGCTCGAAGCACTCATGATATTGAAGTATTATAGATAGATAAGTTATTATATACTTTTATTTTTTCATGTTATTAATTCAGATATAAAAATTTTCCCTTCATTATTATGTTACTAAGGAGTTATATTATCTGAATGAATGTAAATCAAGAATTACTCAACAAAAATATATGTTCACATATTTCTATGAATTTAAATTTATTTCTATCTAATATAGTATCAAAAAGCGAAACAGATATTATACTTATAATTAAGCAGAAGTTATAGCAAACTTAATTAATAGCCGGAGGCAGGTAATCGCCTATAAACAGGGATGTAAGTTAATTTATTTATGCTAGGTTTTAATTAATACTATATAACCACTTAATAGGATTAAATAAATTATGTATTCAGAAAAAATAAAGAAAATGTATGTTCATATTAATTTTATATTACGTACTGCATTTTATTAATGATTAATATTAACTGAAAATGAAATCAAGTTGAGTTGAGTTAAAATTAATTGTAGTTCAGTAGATCGATAGAAATGCACCTAATAATAAAAGCGAAGGGTTTATCTATAGCATTATTTGTTTAGGTCAAAATTTTATCAAATTATAAAAATACAACGTTAATTGAATAACTGCAATCTCGCTTAGCAAACTCAATAACGATGGCAATAATTTCAACGCTTAAAATAAAAATTTCCAATAATCCTGACTTCTTTGAATTTTCATTATGAACATGAAAAATTTATCCCGATTTTTATTTCTTTTTTAATTTGTAAGAATAATACATTAAACGATGATTACATCTCACTCAAGAAACTAGAAGATTTCAGATACTATGAGGACATCTTATCCGCTTAATCACAGAAACACGTTACATTTCGGCGGTTTCCTATAATGCTTTATAAAAAACATGTAAAAAAAATTTAATATAATATATTCATTCCACTTTAATGGTTTCTTTTCTTATTAAAGCGAAACAGGGGATATTTAATATTATCCTGCTAGTAGTAATATAAATATGCCATTCTCTTAATAAAAAGTCTTAACTTGCTTCATTATGATTCGTGTATTCCTCCTTTTGCATTACATCCTTCTTATCCCTTATAAGGATATATTCCTAACTTCATATAAACTAATATTTATCCATTAAAGTAATCGTTTATATATGTATATGAAATTTTTAAATTCAACAGAACCGCCAAACCAAGACATTTTTTTTACATGCTCTACCAGCTTACGATCTCCATAATCCATCGATTTATTTTTTATTTATGTTAGCTGACATTCGCTTTCTTCAAAATATTGGATTGTTACAATTTAACAAAAGTGTGCTACAGTCGTTTCAAACACCGTTAGAATCTCAACAGTTGTTGAATGTTAGTACTCCTCGAGATTTTTTATACAATTCTCAAAATGAAGAATTTAAAATATTCTCACTGTAACTTGTTTATGTAAATCTGTATTGGCTCACGACTAGCCGTACTTTAAAGAGCGATTTCTGACTAAGATGATATATTAATCTATATTGTTTATTTCTTAAATACGTAATTTATTGCAAGGCGTAATAAAAAATAAAGATTTATCAAAAACTACATACCTACACGTTTTAACACATACCCAAAGAATATATTTGCAAATAAATCTTTCCTTACATTTCCAACACTTAGTTTTACTACATATATCTCGAACAATAAAACAAGTAAAGTGCCCAGAAATACAAGGCCTATGTTAAGAGTAATCTCTTTACATCTTTTACTTATTTTTGTCATAATGTAATCTTTCTTTTTATTCGCGAATTTACAATTAATTTAAGAGGAAATAGAAGCATATGTAGTTATCGAAGTAAAAATGTTTATCCGATAAATGTTTGTTTTTTTTTTCATTTAACAAGTAAAAAACACAACCAAACATGTAGGTTCCAATTGCAAATTTATAAATTGTAGACTATTAGAAAAAATCTCGGGTAAGATAATTTAAAGCTAATAAAAATACTCCAAGAAATTGCAACTTGTTGCTTTTAACTTTTTTTTTACTTTTGTAATACGCTTCCGTTTCAGAAAACGTTTGTCACTAAAGCCAAGAAAAGTCTAAAAAGGTAGTTCTGAATAGCAAACGTTTATTTGGCTCCACATAAGAGCGTTCCGCCACTTAGACGCAAATGAATCTTTCTGTGAAAGAAACAGTACAGTTACTTGACGGTAAAACATTTACGTTTCCCCGCGTTTTACATTTACTTTAAGCAGAAGTGACATTTTTCTTTTCATCTTTTGTATAGACAATTTCAGAACTAAGTAAAAATTCTTTTATAAGTTGTCGTTATTAACTAGACCAGCGAGGATCTCGTGGTGTCTAAATATATATTTTTTTCAAATATAACCCTACTCGCTCGCAATATATCACTTTAAAATTTACTTTTATATTTTATATTGACATTTCTCCTTATTCATATCTATGTAATTGTACACAGTGTATTATTTATTATACTGGACTACGAACGGGGAAATGGAGGGTAAATTATAAATAAAAACCTTTACATGGTCTTCAACTACACTTACATTAAAAGTATGGAATGTACAAGTTCTAAATACAATATGATTTCTAAGATTTTTACGTTGAGACTTATGTAAATAAAACCATATTTTGAGACATACTTTCATCTCTACTTCCTATAAAAACTGTTCCTTAAAATTATAGAAACTTCAGGTTAGTCATAAAAATAAAAGTATATAAATTACTTATATCTAAAAATAGTTTTATTTGATATAAATATAATAATTACATAAATTAATATATATGAGGTAAACCTGATTCCCTTACAGTAAAGAGGCGATTAACGGGTATCTACTTAAATTATGTTTATCACAATAGAAGTGTAGTAGAAGAAATAGGGTGTGAGTGGAGATTGGTGGTACGAAGTTAATAGGCCCCAATATTAGAAAATGGCAAACAGTTGTACTATCATCTTCAAGAAACAAATTATATATGTATATTCTCGTCCCCTGATGTTAATGGAAATAATTATTTTATCGACATATTTTTAAAGTTTGATGTAAGATTGGTACGTCCTTTTATAAAGCGAAGGAAATTTTTGTACTTTTCAATATAAGGAGAAGTTGCCGTGGGCAGCTACGTACTGTGGTGTGATACAATGGATTTCATAAAAATTTTACAACCACCATTTAATAGGTTTCACTTTTATTCAATTTCTAAATTTTTCTTTTATTTATATTACAATCGTAACAATACAGTTATAACATTATAACTCTCATTTCAATTATAATTAACAAAAAAGCAACCTGCCATTAAGCTTTTCTATTCTTATCCCAAAACCATGTCAATATATGTATATGTACTCGTACTTGGTTTTTCTAATAAAAGTTATGAATATAACTCCATGTAAAGGGAGCTACCCCACAATAATTACTAAGCTACCAAGTAATAAATAATAATTATCAATAATTGATCTGCTAATGGAAAATACTCGAAACCGATATGCAAAGAAAATGTGCAGATAACTTTAAAAACCAAAAACTAAGTGATATAACGAAAGTCATTTAGTATATAGTTTTGTTTATTAAAATTTTATGAAAATTTAATTATTAAGCTTCGTTGCCCAGAATTAAATAAATAAATGTTATAAAATTATAATGAAAAGATTGACAATGTAATCACGATATTACTTTTTATTGCATTAAAAACATAAGAAATAATGTATTTTTTTTATAAATCAATTATAACATAAGAAAATAAACTCAGAAGAACAATTCCAATAACTTCGCGAATGCGAATATGCATAAATATGTGCATATCCGCAAATGCGAATGTGATTTTCATTACATCACTACCTAAAACATGTCATTTCAAATAGCTACACTATTTGTTTATAAAATAAATTATAATAAACATTTATTTTAATAGAAATATTATAATACAAACACATTATCTTTTCAAAAGTAATATAGCTTTTGGTTTAACGGTTTCGCATTGGGTAACGTTTTCCGCTAGAAATTTGTGTTGTGCCAGATCTTTTCAATTCATCACTAACCACTCTCTTAAATTCATCTTCGGCGTTTTTTATAACACTTTCATCCATTAAATCAATATCAGAATCTGGTGCTGGTTCAATTTCTCTCAATTTTAATCTTATTTCTTTTATTCTTGTTTCAAGTATATGTTCCCTTCGCCCTTCGCGTTCGAATGTTTGGTTCATTAAAGTCTTATCTTTATTATCCGAAATAACAAGACTTTCGGATAGTGATAAAAGATTCACAACTCCCTTAGTATCTCCAACGGCAACAAATTTACCTTGTTTGTTTGGTTTCAATTTTAAAAGCGGATAATTTGAAACAGGTTTTGTGACAATAGCGCCATGGTGTCGTCTTAATAGATCCCAGTACCTAAATTTTCCATCATAACTTATAGACATGTATCCTGACATTTTTTGAGGAGACCAACAAACATCGGATATTTGCATTTTATGTGGTTTACCACATATTATAGGGGAACAATGAATATCATCACTCCAAATATTGACGGTCCAGTCTCCACATGTAATGAAAACTTTTGTGGTGCAAGGACTACGATAAAGGGCTTTCACTGGACCATAATGAGCATTGAAAGTGGCACTCATAATTTCTTGATGAGTTTTGCCTTTCCGATTTACATTAATAACTAAACCTGTCTCAGTACCACATAAAAATTTTGTTGGGAAAGTTTTATCATATTGCAAACAACTTATACCTTCTGCATCGGCCATAGATACAAATTCTTGAGAAGTAGCGTTTATCGACATAATGAGTGAATCTATAGGCTCAGATATATTTCTTACATCCCACCACATACATTTTCCATCACTAGAACCACTAAAGAATTCAGTATTAAGTCTGCTATGTAAGAATAAGAGGGCACTAACGGGATCCCTATGGGCTAAATGCATCATGCTGAACCCAACTGGTTCTATTTTTTCACGCAAATCAAAAATACATACTCTGCCATCTTCCAGGCCGCCCATCATTACTTTAGGATGAGAAGGTGAACAAACTATTTGCCAACATGCTGTTGGTGGCAAGAATTGTTCCAACGGTTCATTCGCATTTTCTAAGTCCCAAATATTGCCTTCTAGTCTTTTATTAAGTTGTTTACCTAGAATCATTTTTTTATAACAATGGGAGACGACAAGTTTAGAATTAGGTTCGAAGGTCCAAGCAAGTGAAGCAACCGGACGCTGAAATAAATCTCTATAAGCATTTTTTACTTTCACCGAATATCTTTCCACTGGATTCTGGGGTTTCATTTCCTTGAAATACATATTGTACATCTCAATAGCGTTATTTTGATTTATTAAGTGTTCGAAATGAGGGTTTGCAGAAAGTACAGCATCCACATACGCATCATCTCGTTCAAAACGTCTACGATATCGGGCTGTCGCTTCCTCGTCATTAACATTAACATCTTTTGGCCAACCGCCTTCTGCATGGTTAACTCCACGGTCTTGTAGAGTAACACGTATAGTGTTTACGTATTGCTTTGATAAAGTTATAGATGTTTGTGTTTGATTATGAACTGGATTTCTTAAGCAATATTGTCTTTGTAGACTTATATCAGGATCTATAGAATCCAATAATGCGGCAGGAGTTTCACAAAATAATGGCTGTTTCCCAAAGTTTTTCCTCAACTTCAAATACGAATACGTGAGTACTGAATCCATTATTTATTATGTTTTGATACTTAAACCAAAATCACAAATTACAATATGACTATGAGTAAAAGAAATTCAATTTCAAGGTGTCATTATTTTAAAATAAAAAAGAACGGCTCTAGCATACCAGCTTGTAAATAATTTTATACCAGTGCGTATTAGAACAATTACACACAGTTAATTTTATAAAAAAATTTATCATATTATTCTTAATGAATATGTATATAAAAATATTTTAATGCAATCCTTAATAATATGAATTATTGCTCGGAGATATGACGTAGCAAAATCAAATTTTTTTTTTCAATATAGTGGTTAGTTTCATAAATTTAAAAAAAATCTAATTTAGTGTATTAATATCTGTCTCTACAAAAAATTGTTATAATCAGTTTTATTATAAAAATTTTTCTGCAAAAAGCTTAAATCTAAAACAACTTAGTTATATTAAATTGACAATAGGAATCATAAAAATAAATTTCAATAACCAACTCTATTTAATAATATATATACATATATATCCTGTAATGGACTGTAGGCCCTAAGACTATAACAATCACATTTCTTATAACACCATTCCAAGCACGTATTCTCCCAAAATCACGTCTTTTGTTTTTTATAAGTACCTAATCCGTGATTTTGTTGTAAACATATGAGAACAAAAAATATGACGGCTTGATAAATTATATGATGCTGAACTAAAAAAGGTAGGTTATAAAATATTTATATAAAATTATCCCTAGATACATAACAAATTTATGTTATCACTATGGCTTGCAACTGTTTCGATCTTACTTTTCAATAAATATATATAATCAGTCGTACAGTAAATTATAAATCCACCTTTTAGATAAGGCAACAAAATTACTGTTTGCGGAAATCCTCAGTAGATCCAAAACAAATAGGCCTGTTTGTTAGGGAGGTAAGTGGAGTCTAAGGGTATCCTACTTGGCACTATGAAACACAAAATAAAATATACCCAAGGCTTATTATGTACACATATTGTTCCTTTTTTGGATATATGTCTTTTTGGTATAATTTAGGTAATATTTTTCTTTAGATGATACAATAGAAAGAAGAAAAACACAATGTAGGCACATTTATTAAATAACAAAAAACATTGCATACTCCAGTATAATGAAATATTTATTTACGAGTATATGCCAGACTTCGGAATTATAATTATTTTTATACAATTATGATCACATCAAATTTATGAGTCTGTTATAACAATGAATTATGTTATAGACTTTAGCAATATTCTGAATTGATACATAAATAATGTATGTATAATATAAATTTTAATAATTAAAAACTGTTTTGAAGAAAAAGTCGACGATTTCTACCTAAAGTACATAAACACCAATGTATGTCAAAAGTTCCTTTTTATTTTGATATATACTTTTTGTTTAATATTAAATTGTTATTATCATTAACACCTTTTACTTTATGGTAGGTATCTTTTCAAGAAATATTTTTTTAAAAAAAATAATTGTGTGTCACGTAATCCAATATAACACCAACTAAAATTTTCCATATTATGTCATACTTATTATTATATTTGATCGTATTGTTTCCCTTTTTGTTGTAAATATAATTTTTAATAGGTATATTATTTAAGAATTGTATTCTCATTTGAACCGAAAAAAAGATGTACACAAACAGTTTTATGCACATTTATATTGTGAAGAAAAAAGCTTAGTTTGTTATAAGTAATAATACCTCATCAGTATAATAAAGATATTAGACTCTAAGTTTACCTTCGAATGTTTGACGACTTTGTAGCTTTAAGAGCTAGGTACAGACGTGAAGTACGAGTATATGTAAAATTTTATTATTTATTTTAATTTAAATGTAACTAATATTTTGGTTATACTCTACAATAAATCCTTAAATCATAGTTTCATTTGAATGTGTAAGTAATCACAAAAATCTTACATATTATTTTATTTTTCTTATCTATTTCTGGATTAGAAAAGAAAACTAAATTAATATATCGGTTCTTTTCCCTTAGGTTGTTATGAAACTAGATCAAATTTTAAAATAAGATTTATTATACTTCTAAATCATAAAAATATAAATACAACACTAGGAAAAAAGAAAGGCAATATCATATTTATTTCTTTTATTATATTACATTTAACAAAACAATGTGGCAAGTTTAACAAAAAAATTGTAAGCAATTGAAGATGTTGCTGTAAGTAACGCTTAAATTTCTAGATATGTAATAATTACAGAATAACACCATGAACCAAATATCGATTAATAAATATTTATTTTGAACAAATAGCTACATGTATTATGAACGTAACTACGAGTATTATTATTAACATGCCTGTCGGGGAAGCTGGTGGGAGTGCGAAAGCGATCCCCCGCCCCGACACAAGGGCCGTCGTGGAACACCCTTGGGTTTTTAGTGGGTAGTGGCAACGAGTCCCACATACCCCGCTGTTTTCTAAAAACGGCGGGGATGCGTAAATGCATTTTCCCAAGGATAACAAAAAAAAAAAAAAATTATTATTAACATTACTGACTTAGATCATCAGTCTTATTGGTCCCTTTATATTTAGAAATATAGAACCTTTATTTTATAATACATATAATATTGATTATTATTAATTTATCTTACAGCTGTTACAGCTATAACATTTCTTTTACTTTTAGCGTTATTTAATTTTACAATCTTATATATAAAATTATGTTTTTGATGGTGTGCATCATTATTTTTATCATTTACCCCCTTGCTAAACGTTTTATCTTTATGTTTAACCTTAATCCATCTATCATTTTTCCAGTCGTACTTCTTTCCAATTGCTAATAACATGTCTTCAAATTTAGGCCACTTTTTCGTAAGATATAAAATATTTTTATTGTTTAGCTTTTCTTCATATGGTGTTTTATGTGTTAAGTTCTGATGGTACGAATCTTTTAGTTTATTCTGTTTTAAACTAAAGTTATCCGACAAATTTATATTATTTTGAGCAAAATCCGAATATTTTCTTCCAGCAACATAAATATTGCTTTTTTCATCATTGTTATTCTCGTAATTGTAATCATCAAAGAGATTTTCTGCATATTCGTCATAATATTCTTTAAGTTCTTGTTTAATTCTTACTGTAACAAAGGAACGATCAATTAATAAAAAAAATTGTATGCTTAGCTTGAGTAAAAAATGTAATAATTTTCATATTGAAATATAAATACATGTTATATATATGACCGACTTTTTTAACGTTATAGCTATTATTAAACTTGTTTCTTAATTTTACTACTACTTTGATCACTTTGATATCGTTTGTCCATAATAGAAAAATAAAAAATGGCATGTCATAATATCTGAAAATAGTTTTATAATAATGTGTACTCGATCAAAGTAATACATCATTATAATGTTCCTTTTACCTCTTAATATTTTGCATCGAGTGCAAAGTATAATATAAGTACTAGCTTATCGAAAAAAGATTAAAGCATATATGTTGGTATTACAGTTTTAAATCACTTATACTATTGCAATAAATAGTATTGCGTTATAATAATACTTACTTGCCATTTTTCTGTAGACTTCAATGTCTTTTTTCAATGAATCTTTGGATGGTTTCCAAATTCCATGACCTTGACCTATTAAAAAAAATGTACCTTTCATTATACTTTTGGAGATAGGTAGTTAATTTTATTTTTACTCTCGAATCTGAGTTCACTGTTATTTAAACTGAATATAACGTGACCATGCATTAGACTCTTTAACATAATTAAATTTCTATATTAATCCTAGATTAACCTTTTTTACTCACCTACTGATAATGAGAGTAAAACGAGAAAACACATGTGCTTCAGTGTGCAGTTAGACATCCTGTTCTGTTAGGCTACAATAAAAAGAAGTCTGTAACAGTTGTTAATGTCCCATTTAAAGAGAAATCGCATTAAATAAGATTGTTCTAAGTCGAGCGATACTATGTAACATAAGAAAAAGATATATTTATTTGTATAACAAGGAAGTATATAAAAAAATACATAGTATTTAAAATGATAGTTATAAATAATGTATCGGTTCAAAAAGTGAAGCATTTAAAGGCATATAATCAGTTTATGAAATTTCGTTATTCTGAAAAGTATATCATTTTGTTATCTTTCCAAAGCTGTGATCAATTAGCAATCAAACAAGCCTGAGGTGCCGAGATTTCTAGACGACGGTATGGTAAAATATGCTATGTACATTTCCGCTCCAATCAACACTCAGCCATCTACGTTTCCAAGCACGCCGTGTCTATCAGAAATTAAATAAGAGCTTCACTATTTTAAGAACTATTTACTCATTTTGAGATACTTAAAGCAACATAGATATTTTTAATAAGATTATTATTTATAAGGAATATTTTATAACTAGTCATAATTGTGTTCTTTCACTAATATTAATATATTATGAAATAACGTTAATACATATATCAGTAATACATATATTTTTGGTGAAATTATGAAATTAATAATCATTAAACTGATTCCACTTCGTTCAGATTTATAGGTATTTTGTGATAAATTATATGTAATTTTTTAATTATTACTTTTCTTTTTCAATTATACATTATTATAATAAATATTACATGCTGATAATAGTAAATAATTGCAGTGAGGTGTTTTAACTTAATTTTCAGTAAGAGGATTTAGAGCATTTAGAGTGAAATTCATTGTGCATTTAAGTGACAATAGCAATTTTATAAAGAAATATTTACGAGCCAGATTTTTTTTTTTGTGTTTAAGATTAAAGTACAAATTCCTGTATACTTTTTACATTGTAGGGGATTTAATTTAGCAAAAATTGTTTAAGAACTATGTAATAGGGGTTTTTAACACGTCTGTATTAACTTTAAACGACTAAAAATGATTCATTAGACAGTCAAATATCACAAAAGAATAAACCTTTAAAGAATAAAAATAATATTTGGAAGACCTGTCAAGTTAATCTGTTTTAATGGTTTTTTTAAATAACATTTCAGAAAGTGATTCAGAGTGTTATT